CCAAAACAGTGATGGGTGGATGGTAGCATGCAAATGAGAAAATTACGTCATACCTCATCCGTATGCAATCAGGAAAGTTTGAACATGGCTAGTTATTTCCAACGAAGTGTAATGCAAGATGATTCTGTCTTGTAAGGTAGTCAGGTAAAAGAGACCTCAGGGCAAGTATATATTAGTTTCCTAAATCATTCTCCTCCTACCACAACTACTATCAAACGCCCTAATCCGTATAACATTTAGTGATACTGGTTGCTATGTCGTTGGACCCGGGTTCGAAAACTGAAGAAGGCATGGGTGTATAGTTTCTGTACGGCATGGGAACATTTAAAATATTTCCGGCCAAAATCCTCTCAAATTGCTTGATAGGAGAAAAGGGGGGGACCATCGGATCCGTATTCCGGACTATTCTCCACCAAAACTGCAGCGGCGTTGCTCAGTTAGTGAGATAGAATTATACCTGTACAACCAATGGTGAAATTCTGATTTTTGCCCATTTCTATCTGTACCGACAACTATTTTCATTAACTCCGCTTGGGTTAGATAAACAAGAAGCATTACATGTCGTCCTCTTTCAACTAAGCCGATTTTTGAAGGCATTCAAATACGGTCAGGCCATTCCATCACCAACTCGTATTACAGTATAAGAGTCATCAATGTGGTGCACATCTTAGATATCGGTCCTGTGTATTTGAATGAATTGCGAGCTCATCCGTACACTGCAACACCAGCAGAAATGTTGCTGCCAAGAGATTATGAGAGACATTACTAATGGTACAACTTTGTGATGAACAAACACATTGGATGAAAAGCCAGATTCCTTTGCTATCGTTATGTGGGCGTATGAAACGAAATTTGACCGTAATTGGATGTTAAACCGATACCCTTATGTGTTCTGTATGGTTCCAAAACTACGCGCCCTACCCTCATTGGTCGTGCAGATGATTTTTTTAAAATTTCAAACTCATGTAGTCAGTGGAAATTTTTGGATCGAATCTACGTGTCATTCATCACCGCAAAGGCCTTGCTACATCGATTTTCACCATTGTCGATCGTCTTATACATCGAACAGGGAGGTGACGGGGACGCCTGATGTTTAACAGAGGTAAACAGGCATATGTCCCGCGCCCTCCCCTATCTAGTGGCAGCAACTCCCAGGAGCCTCATGAGGCCACCTTGGGAGTTTATTGAAGAATTTTACGTAATTGTACATGGCCATACAGAGGCGTCTTAGGAATACATTAGTTTTGATCGATAGGCGGATGATTTGTTACATCTTGGTTTTTAGACACTGTTAGACACTAATTACAGCATATACATACACATACAAGTACATACAATTGCACATATAAAGATACATACAAAACACTTGTAAAACACATATAAAAGCACATATATAACACATATAAAACATGTAAGCACATTATATAAAAATAGAAATTAGATACTAGTTTGCACACACTTATACAAGTAAAACACATACTTATAATGAAACATATTTAAGCTAATATATAGTATACACTTACACTAAAGACACATTTAGATACATTTAGATCACATATCACATGTAAAATGCGCAAATAAACATACATAAAGCATGCAGGCACACTGTAGAATATTAAATTTTGTTATTAGATGATATAGTAATTACAGATGAAACTTTACTCTGGAGAATACATTATGCAATACATTATATCAGGTACACAATACTTATTTAATTTGAATAGATATGCAGCGCTTTTTATATACATAATGCTTACAGAATTGATACACAATGTAAAAACAGATACACTATGCTTGTAAAGCATTAGATATTAGAATTTATACTGCGCACAATTGTACAAACGAAATAAGACACTATACTACTATATACAACACAGTTATGGTGTACAATTATGCAAACACAATTATACTAACGTATTAAAACGCAGAATAAAACACTATACTACGGTATATAACACAATTGTGCACAATTATATAAACACAATTATACTTACACATTAAAAAAAAATCTATACTATTGTATACACACAATTATAGTACGCAGCACCATGCATGCTATGTTGCCAAGCTATATATTTCTATGCGAAGCTATGAGATTATACAGGTAATGCAGATACAATATTGATAGATATAGATGAATTATACATTATGCATATGTCAGATACAGTGCAGATATAATACAGATAGTTTGAGTAATACAGATATGATGTGCAGGCAATAACTGTAGTGGAGACACTATGTTATAGAATGCGCTGAGCTTATTTTATATTATATTAGATGCACAGTGTTTATTGGATTAAAGTAGGTACACAGTACTTTTTATATACACATTGCTCACAGAACAAATGCACAGTGCAAAGTCAGATACACAACAGGTTGTAAGGTATTGCAGGTAATGCACACGCAATGTAGATAGTTGCATAGTAATTATATGCTTTATATACAGCAGATACTGTGCAGAATTTGACAAATTCAGTGCAGAATGAGGTGCATATTTATTGCAGATAGTTTGTATAACGCGTTTGTGTAATACAGTACTGGCAATGACTGTAGGAGAAACACTATGTTGTAGAATACACAGTGCATATTAGTATTGTAATAGATACATGATGCTTGTTGTATACACAATGCTTACAGAATGGTTACACAATGCAAAGTCGGATACACATTTGTTTTACACTGTTCAGTTAAGCATGGACTAGCATGGACATGCAAGTAGTGTTGCTCTGTACACTGTTGAATACGCGATTTGTGTGCATGCAGTGCAGAGTGTATAATGCAGTGACTTGTGAATATTTATTAAACAATGACTATATGTTTGATTGTACTGGAGAGTTACAAAAAACAACTTACATGGTTGGTATGATTGTTAATACATTGTATGTCTCCCAGATGATGCAATACAGTCCGTACAACGCCTAGGCATGCTGATTATCAAATTATCGATCTGATCTTGGGGGATATTACACCCCTCAAAATGCAATGCTCTCCGAAGTTCCGGTAGACATGTAGGAGGAGGTTGACAGGCTGCAATTCGTCGGCCAAGCATGTCCCACACTTGCTCTACTGGATTCAAGTCCGGTGAGAATGATAGACAGTCCATACAGGTGATATCCTCCGATTGAAGGCATTCGCTTACGATGTTTGCACGGCGAGGACGAGCGTTTGTCATCCATAAACACAAATTGTGCGCCCATGGCGCCCCAAATAAACGTACATGTTGTTCCAGAATGACGTCCCGATAGATTTGGCTTGTCATGTTCCAATTTGAACATACAGGTCAATTCTGGAACCCAGAATAATTCCACCCCAAACGAGCACTCCTTAACGGTGTCGTTCAATGATGTTTTCTTGGTGGTAACGGGTACCTGGAGTCTCCATACGAAAGTCCGTCGAGAATCAGACTGCAAGCTAAACCTGGACTCGTCGGAAAACATCACACAAGCCCACTGTTGCGGTGTCCACAATGCATGCTCTCTACTCCAGGCTAACCACATTCGACAGTGAGTTGCAGTAAGTGGAACGCATCTGACAGGTCTACGAGCATATAGACCAATCTGCCCTAAGCGTCTGTACACGGTCTGCCTTGAAATTGTTGTACCAGTGGCTGAAGAGAGCTGACGAGACAGGTCTGAGGCTGTGCTCCGTCTGTTTCTTTTGGCAGTAACTGCCAAATACCGGTCCTCATCCGGCGTTATAACTCTGGGGCGACCTGTGCTGTAACGTCTACTCACATTACCATCATCTTGGAATCGTTGCCAAAGCCTGGAGATGACACTCTGGGCAATTCCAAGTTCGTCTGATACTTCCAGTTGGGTACGCCCACATTCCAGACGGCCGATAATTCTACCACGTAAAAAAATCATCCAAATGCGTCCTTTGTGTCATAATAACTATTCGGTTATTGCACTGAAATGCTTATAAAGCGCCTGCGAACAATTTTACTTCTTTGCCTGTATTCCTTATATATCACTCTCTTAAACTCTCGTCATTTTGACGTACCATCGGTGTCATATGTTACTTCCTGAAATTTGCATATATTCTTGAAGATGTGTGTAGTGATTTTTCAGGTGATATATTTATTTTAGAGTTCGATTTCCGCGTGACTCCGAATTATCCTTAATTTATGGACATGAGTGTATTTCAGTAGTTGTAACTACTACAGAGACACAATGCAGGTAGCAGTCTGTTCATAGTCAGTAGTTTGCTCTATACGCCGTAAGTGAGTACTGTACGCAGTAAGCAGCTATGTCTCAGTACTTATGCGCTGTAGGGACATTTCAGCGGTTATATTACATGTTGGTAGTGTACAGTGCAGTTATGTTATAAGCGCAGCACATAATTTAAACATATTGTAAGTTGCATTCAGCTGATTGTCAGTATAAGAGACTGTCAGAATTCTTTTGATGATTTGGTAGTGAAAGCTGACTGTGGTTGCTTTATGAGACGCTATAATTGACGCTAGTTTGGTTGGCAGATATCTTGCCCTAGGGCGTTGACCTGCCTAATTATTTGGCAGATCTTTTTGACCGCTGGTGGGTGCTTAAGGATGAATCGTTTATATGATTCTATATTTGTGGCTGGGAGTGGTAGGTAGGTGAAAGTTGGATGACGTAAGGCTGCATTCAAATATGTAGTGGTCGGGGGAGCCAGTTGCCCCGCAGACGCATATATCTGTCATCGAAATTGCATGTCTTTGAAAATAGGATGGAAATGGGCCGTGCCCCGTGATATAGTAGTTTGTCAAGGGTGCAATGGCCTGGGACTGGAGACGTTCGTTGTCTACTATTGGGTAGAATCCATGTGTGTCCTTCTTCCTGTATCACAGTTATCCCACTCCTGTTGCCACTGTTCTTTGCTTAGTTCTCTTAGCGTTCGCTTTAAATACGAAGTCGGGATTGGAGTTGTCACCTCTTGCGCGTCGTTGTTGAGTGCCGCCTCGTTTGCTAACTGGTCTGCCATCTCGTTACCCTCTATGCCATCATGTCCTTTCACCCAGATTAGTTTGATGTGTGTGTTTGCATATTGTTACGCAGGAGCTGTTGGATTGCTATAATTGTGGGTGAGGTATGGTGGTGATTCATGATTGCCTGTAGCACTGACATGCTGTCTGTGTGAATTTCGGTTGCTGCTAGATTGATATCCTGAGCATACTGAATTGCAGCTGCTATTGCCACAGCTTCTGCCTGGAAAATGCTGTTGTTGTGGGTAGCGAGATGGCCTTTCCATTTGCTTTCCACTCGGTCATTTTTGAAGTGAACGAAGGCGCATCCCACTCCATTGTCATGCTTTGATCCATCGGTGTAGAATCGTGAGTTCACATGTGGAGTTTCTCTGAGAGGCGTTGGGTGTTGTGCTGTCACGACATGGATGCCTTTACTTTTGTGTGCCGGGTGCACATACTGCACACTCCCTGGTAATTCATACTGTGTTGCATGGAAGGCGGTGCCAGCAAAGTTGGCATCTTGTTTTAGCCTAATTAGGCGCTCATATGCAGCTTCTATGCTGGCCTTTATGTGCAGGGGTGTTAGTCCCGCAAGGACCGTTATTGCACTTGATGCCGTTGTCCTATATGCCCTACTTATGTTTAGAGCAAATGGTTGCCGTTGTATTGTTGTCAGGAGTTTGATCTTGCGACTGCTCATTGGTTGCGCCCATATAGCCGATGCGTAAAGAACAATTCTCTCCGCTACCGTTAGATATAGTAGTTTCTGGATGTGAGGGTTTGCCCCCAGTTGCTATGCTGGAATTGTCTGGCTTTCTTAGCTATATTTGCTGTCTTGATTCTGATGTCTTGAAGGTGGGGCAGCCATGTGAGACCCTGATCCCATGTAACTCCACATCCGAAATACAGTTGGCATTGCAGCCAACTATTCGCGGCTCACAGCGGAACTTGGAACTTGTTTGTTGGTCAATTCAGGTACAAGATCATCGGATGCGGGTATAATTTGAAGTGGCTACGGAAGTCACCTCATCTAGTTCCATTAATCTGGTGGGGCCACTTGAAAAACCAGGTAGTTGCAATCTGAATGCGCAATACTTGAAATGGCACAAAATACCTAGCTAAGAAGTTCTAGCTCGAATATAGATGTGTATTGTTGTCGATGACGGACATCTCGAGCATATTTAACTATAAACATTGACACTTAATTTTAGAGCATTATTTTATGCTTTCCTTCATCATGATATTCAAACATTAATGATATTCATAATATTCTGGTGTAAAAATTTCTTGCTGTAATAATAAACTATGCCTATTGCTGATACAGGTAAGTTTTATAATAAGTTTCCACCCACCTATCTTGTCACACATGTGATTAGTGATGTACGAGCCATCGTATTTATGCGCCAATGACCGAAAACCAGGAGTATCTGCTTTTCAGGGATTTTATTCGTCATTGGTGCATGTTTGAGCATCATTTCATACTAAATCAGTTATATTATACACACTTGCTATTAAAAACTTTTACTATTTCTCAAAAATTTCCTAAAATTTCCTAAATTAAAATTTCCTAAAAAATAATACCTCTAGGTGGCAAGCAGTCAGTCTCGTGTGGCATAGCATGGTCCCTTTACTGTATACAGCCTTCCACAACATTCGAAAGTTATTTCGGCGTTTAAGGATTTTATAATACACCTTGTAAATGTATAAACAATAAGAAGGAGAAGGAAAAAGGGGGGGGGAAAGAAAGAAACGAAATCGAATTTTGAAAGTATCGCATTGAGCCGTACACGGATCTCACCTGGAAAATCTGCGGATCAAAGTTCGTAGCTTCGAGCCTATCCTTCTTTGTGCTATGGAATAAGACGCACACAGAATGCTCTCCTTTATTATTATTGATACTAATAGCATTAAAAAAATCTGAAATGTTCAGATTTTAAATTACGTACAAAGGGGCTTTTTTTTTTTTTTTTTTAACGTTTTGTGCGTTACCTTTATTTATTAAATATCATGTTCTTTGCACTTAAACCATAAAATTGAGTTCAATAGCAGTGCCGCAAAATAATTTTAAAATGAGCATATCTTTAGAATTTCCGATACACAATTCAAAGCGCTGAAGATAAAAAAAGTTCCCCCCCCCGTAGAGTGTTGCCATTGCTCATTTTTAAATCGTTGAGTTTGTTACTCAAAAATTCGTTAAAGTTTTACAAAATATGAAATCGATCATAAAACAAATTCCAAATTTCAAATTTGGTCTTCCACATGCCCATATTCGCAGTAGGATTACGTCATTCAAAATTCGATGGATCTATATACCGTTGTTTTATCACAATGCGACAAATGTGGATATGTTTATGCAGATTTTTCATTATTTAATTCCTTCAAATATAATGCGGGACTCTAACATTTTGTGGCAACAGTTTCAAAAGTGAATCGACATTTATAGGAGTGGGACGCAAAATGCCAAAACGAAAGTAATAGTCCTTCGGGACTCAAATCCCTTTGGACTAATAACAGTACTTGAAGCATTCCTTATTAAATCTACAGATCGTTTCTCAGAAGCCAGTTTTGTTTGAACTAAGCCAACTTTGTTGAACTAAGAAATATACTTTTAAAATACATGAGATAAATGAAAGCTTTTATCCTGCCTTTCTAGGGAACACCATTTTGGTATTCGAATTTGATTCTAGACTCTGACTTGGTTTTAAAGGAATGAAAAATATAACACTGTTTAGGCGGTTAAACACAGTTCTTCAGCTAAGGAAAACCTGAATAATATTTTAATCTTAATAGAAAATTGCTTTAAATAAGAAAATCAGGTCTCTAACAGTAGAAAAAAATAAATAAACGAAATAAAAAAAATAAATCTGGAAGCTTTCAGATTTTGTATTACGCCCAAAGGGTTTATTTTCCAACGTTTTGTGTGTTACCTTTATTTATAAAATATCATGTTCTTCGCACTTAAACCATAAAGTTCAATTCAACAGCAATATCACAAAATATTTAAAAACGCATGTTATTAGAATAATGAGATAAATAGAGATAATTTTTTCCCATTATTTTTCCGTACAGTGTTGCCATTGCTCGCATTGAAATCGTTGAGTTTCTTAACCAAAAACTCATAAATGCTTTACAAAATATGAAATAGATAATAAAATAAATTTCATATTCCAAATTTGGGCTTCCAGATGCCTCTATTCGGGTGGACACATACTCAAAATTGGACGGCTCTAGGTACCGTTGTTTTATCACAATGCGAGAAACATGTATACATTTATGCATATTCTTCATTATTTAATTTCTTTAAATCTAATACAGGGCTCTGATATTTGGTTGCAGAAATTTAAAAAGTGAATCGCCGTTTATAGTTAATCAAAGCAAAATGCCCTTCTGTGCATATTGCCTCTTTGGGTTAAAAAACAGAGGTAGTTATCATCTTATCTGTGTTGCCATTGCACGAAACCCCGCGTTTTTATCTTTCAGGTGGCCTTGTGTGTAAACATTTAGTCTATAATTGCTTAACAAATTTAAGTATTTCAAAGCATTCCGTAATATTTTAAGTCTTTATATGGTTTAATGATATATGTGATTGATATACTTCGAAATATGATGGATTTTTAGGAGATCTGGCTTGTAATTCTTGGGAAGTTTGCAATATTTTTTTAATATTTGTAACGTCATAAATTACGTATTTTTCTGCAAAATATATAGGTTTTTTTTTTTTTTTTTCAAGTAATGCAATTGACCGATGTGAGTTAAAATATTAAACACGTTTATTTTATGGTAGATGGCGTTCGTAACTTTTACAATCCTGTTCAGTATTTTCATAAGTAGTAAAACACAGATCTAATACCATGTATTAACGTACCTGGATTAAAAAAAAACTTTTGGTTTTTTTTTCCTCCCATTAGTGCGATAAGGTAGAATTTTCTGCTTTGTCGGTGTATTAGATTTCTGTCGAATACTGTCATTATTCTCTCGTCTGCATTCTTTTGTTCAAGAGGGTCAGAGATATTTGGAATGACTCATCGCCTCGGACAATCCGGCCATTGTTTCCATAAAAGAATTTATCCAATACGGCGAAGACGTAAATTATTTATACGATTGCTTTGCTTCGATAGCCGCCGCCGCCGGAAATGACAGCGACCGACATTTCCGGTCATTGTGCCCACCCCTCCGCATAGTTCTGTACGCTGATGGACATGCTTTTGCTTTGCGCTTTAAATCAGTGGCGTAACTAGAACTATTGGGTCTTGTGCAAAACAATTTTCTGGACCTCCCTAGACTTGCAGCAAGTAAAAAGAAAAAGTTCTAAAAGCGAACATTTTAAGTAATGATGACTTCAGAGCTGGGTTGACTTATAAAACTATATAAAAATGCGCTTACGGCACCAGGAATATTTTCATGACATTCCTCTACGTGTGACATCAGTATAAGTCTCTTAGAAAATCATCCAAGAAATGGATCTGTCCCCTAAAGAAGAGAATCTTCGCATGCTTTGCTCTGATCAATTAAGGAAAAAAAGAAAGAAACAGAACACCAGATTGGAAGGAAATACAACAGAATTTTCTTTCTTAACAAACTATGAAGCTGCCATTACTATTACGTTCACAAAGCTTAAGAAAAGGTGACATTCGAAGATCTGGGGCCTTGGCCCTGCTCTCTCTCTCTCTGATCAGCACTTCAGATGATCTTCTTGCGGTTTTGCTTTTTGAAATCAACTGTTTCTATGAGTTTTCTTTCTCAACGTTTTGCGTGGAATGATAAATGAGAAAATAACTGTAAATACTTGAATGTGCTTGTGCTTGTCTATCGAAGAATCAAAATACAGGTTACATCATTTAGCATTACACATTTCAGAGTAAGGTAGCACAGGTATCATACACAGCTGTAAAAATGATTGAAGACGATCAGGTTAAGTCAGTATCTCTGATTCACAACAGAGATTTCCCTTTAGATAAGACATTTTGAACGCCATAAGATTTTTTCTCTGTATGATTATCAAGGGACTGTTTCCATTTCTCAGACACATTCGTCTAGAGGCGGCTATAAGTTTGTTAATGCCAGTTAGGGTATGAGTGAAAACATGAGCTTTCAAATACCTTCAAGAAGACATGTCCGCTGCAAGATGATCCAGGAATGGAATGAGAACCATTGAGAGTCACCAAACCGGGAGAGTCTTCCAGGGGAAATGAAACAAACTATTTTTTTGGGGGGGGAAGAGAAGATATTTCTGGGCAGCTCAAATTTACAGCCTACCTGACAGTAACAAACCTAAAAAATGAATTCGCCATACGACTGGGGAAGTTATCAGAACGCTCTACGTTGCAAATATGCTTTGTGCCATTACAAATGTATCTTGGAGGATGGCTGATTTGATTGCTATGAAGAATATGTTCAGGATGCTGTATTGAAGAAGTGAGGACTGCTTTGTGAACCCAGGAAGCTGGGTAATCCAACTGTGTTCACGTATGCCACTGTAGCATATAGTTTCGTTTTTTTTTTTTTTTTTTTTTTTTTTTTTTTTTTTTTTTTGGGGGGGGGGGGGGCTTTAAGGGCTCCACAAACTCTCCGGTACTTGTAGTCTCCGGTTTGTGGAGCAATATGTATGTGATACAAGTCTCCGGTACTTGTATCACGTACATGTTGCTGCAGAAAAGTGATTACTATCAGTTCCTATTTTCTTTTTAAATTTAAAGCTGA